TTTAGAGTTAAAATTATGTAAATTATGTCCTTAAATCGTTAAAAATTATAATTATACGATTCTTAGAGGATTTGTGATTTATTTACATCGCAACAGTGGTTGTAAAAAACATGTTAACATTGCTAACAACATGTTTTTATGTTGAAAAATAACCTTGAAATTCATAACCATACAAATTGTAGGAAAATATTGTATAAGGTTTTAAAAAAGTATTGCTAGAGTTTTTGCAAAAAAAAAATCATAATACCTAAAAATGCCTATAACGCGTGTGATTCTACCGTGCAAGGAATAAAATAGGTCAAACATTTAAACACAAAACAACTGTAAACATAATATGTTAAGAAAAACAACTGGTTTTCGATAAAACAAATTAGAAATAAATCTATACAAATTGTTTTTATAAAATACGAAGACTTATTTATTTTATTCAAAATTTGTGATACCTATAGGGTCTTACCATTTGCTTACATTACAACAGTTGCTGTGAAAAACAGCTCGGTTTTAATAAAAAAATATCGGACTACATTTTACACGATAAACGATTTTACAAAAACTTTTTGTAATAAGTTTAATAATTATAAAACATTTCTGATTTAGGAAAACGCAATACATTAACTGTATGTAAATTTATAAAAATAGGTACTCACCCCAGTTATTATAAAAATAACGTTCTACAATGCATTCAAACACAATCGTCAAAACAAAATTTGTTACAAAAAAATAACTCATGTTTTCAATTGTTTACAACACCTCAATCGAAGCAGATAACAATTTAACTTCAATTTAAAAAATAACTACAATAAAAAACGCTCTGATTTGTCTATCTCTAGACCTAGAACGGTTAATGTAAAATACGTATCAATTGAAATTTTAAATTTTAAATACACAATATTAAAAATATTTTGTTTTATTATTTGTGTACCTAAATGTTTATACCATTTTCATTTACTACTTATTATAAGTAACGAACATTATGCTACCACTATTTTTAGGCATCTTGAAATAATAAACAAAAAATTACAAATATGTATTTCCTTTAAACAGTGATTTAAAATTAGTAGGACCCGGTTATTTTATGTATTATGCGCTGTAGCCACTAATCACAGTAATATTGTCCATAAAAACCAAAACAAATAACCCAATATATCACAACTCCCAATTGTAATATTTAAATTCAATTCTAATTTATATTTTGCCCATTAGTGGATACAACTATACAAGTGATGGGAACTGTTCGACTATCAATAATTCTTTTAAAAATTGTCTTTATTCTTATAGTGGAACAACTTTGTATAAAACATAATTTTTATTTTCTTTGTTACTCTAAAATATTTTCTAACTTGTATAATATTATTTTATGCGAACGCCTAAATTAATTTAACGAGTACGGTTAATATGGATTTTTCTTTCACATTTATGGTGTATGATAATATAGCTGTTGTATGTAAAAACATCAATCATCCTGACACGGTTCTAAAATAGGTATTACACAAAGTGACAAATTATAGTGTTTTTGAGTAGTTTATATATCAAGCTATGGATGTAGTGTCATCCATATACAATTTACTAACAATTAAAAACCATTAATAATTGTATCTTTTAACTATTCTATACTATAACTTTATAACTATACTATTACAGTATTTTCCCGAAAGTTGAAAAAATATTATATTATGTAATTTAATTTATTATTATGAAGAAATATCCGTCGGTACTAAATTATATGAAAAATGTTGTGATATTCTTCTATTGTTTAAAAAAGAAAAATCGTACTACGTTTTAGAATAAAAATTTTATTAACTTGTTTTGTAATTGCTTCAATTATAAATAATACTGATGTAAACATAAAATTCAAGACATAAGGAATTAAAATCCTTATTTTTTAAATTATCGTATGTCTTTGAGTATCTATAGACATAATGTTTTACCTCTAGTTTCACCTAATTCATTCAGTTTTAAGATTTAAATTGCGCTTTTACGATTAACGTAACAATTCCATTTTTACAATTTTTTTGAAGTATTGGGCAGACGTCAGTATCTCCTTTTTTTACTAATAATATGTAAGGTTGCATTTGAACTTATGGTCCTACGTATATTAGATATTTAAGTTTTTATTATTGTAAATAATTGATTTTTATTCCAACTACCAAAATGTTATAACTACAGCTGATATTAGTTGTACATTTCTTTTAGTTATTCTAATAAATATTACATATGTAATTAATAGTAATTATTAATTACAACTATAATATTAAGTCGAAATCAGAAAAATATAGAACATGTATTCGCTATAACTTATTTAAAGTAGAGTTCTACTTTGCATGTTTGTTTGTTAAAACATATAAAGACAAATAACAAAAAAAAAAAACCAGTACAGTGGGGTCGGGGCATAGTGGGGACGGAGCATAGTTGGGTCGGGCATATTGGGGACGGGGAGGTCACAGGTTTACAGGAATTTTTAAATCTGAAAGTGATAAAATCACTTTCGAAAAAACGCTTCGATGCAAATCGGTAGTTAGTATTTTCAAGCCAGTACAGTCCAAACCAAGCACAGTATAAACCAGCAAAGTTAGAAAGTTTTAAATGAAGGTTCTGTATTTACAAATGAGCATCAAAGCGTTTATTTGAAAGCGATTTTATCCGAGAGGACTAGTACAGTAGAGTATTGGCATAATGTAATCAAAGCAATGAGGAAACGGAGAGGTCCCAGGTCTACAAGAATTATTATAAATAAAAGTGATAAAATTGAATAAAATCGCTTTCAAATAAACGCTTTGATGACTCATAGGCTGTGAGACAGTTGTTATTGAAATTTGGGTTTCAAATCAGAGGCTCAACGAAAAATGATGTTATATTAAATAAAAATGTAAATTAATTTCATAAATACATTATTTCTACTGACCCCATAAGTGTTATAACGAAACACATTTGTAAGAATTGAATCAACTTCTCACCCACACTTTCCTTCCTGTCCTAACTTTATGTGAAATAATATAACGAATTTATTTTTTACTACAAATAGTCTTATTTCACTATCCATGGCGGACCAAAACATCAACTGTTTTGCTCTTGAAAATGTCTCCATTGTGCCCCTTATCTTATCCCTTATCCTATCCTCATAATAGACTACACCCTGTTCAACACAAATACTATTTTTTAAGTTCCAATATTGTATTACATTTTCTGGCAATTGTTTTTTTTTTTTCGTAGGCCAGCCACTTGTATAAACTTTTATCACCTCACTCAACTTAACATCATTTTCAGTTTCTTTTGCTATTTCCCTAATGTTAGTATTCTTATATTCAATTGCATATATCATTTCCTCCAATATTGCGCTCCGTCATCCTTATCACACATATAATTTCTTGACAGTAAATCTGCTAGAAACATTAACTTGCTAGGCAAGTATTCTACACATAGATCATAAATTATAAGTTTCATTTTCATTTTCTGTAACCGCACTGAAATCACTTTATAACATTTTTTTTTAAATATTAAAACTAAAGGCGACTGATCTGTCAATATATTTTGTTTATGCCCAAATACATAATTGTGAAATACCTTTCAAGCATTTAAGATACTTGGCATCCCGTTTGTGATTTATCACATTGTATTGTTATCTCAATTTCTGGGTCAAAATTCACTTATACTTGAGAACTTGCAACTATTTGCTTGAGTTTGTCTAATAATTCAGTACGAGCTTCACTCCACAACCAATTAACAATTTTTTTTAAATAAGTCTCTCAGAGGTGTTATTAAAGTAGACATATTTAATATAAACTGTCACTAGTAGTTAAAAGCTCCTGAAAATCTCTGTAATTCCAGTTTGCATTTAGGTGGTTTTAAAGACATTAACGCTTTATTTCTGTACTCATTTGGTTTCATTCCCCCACTGCCAAACACCATACCAATATAATTAAACTCATGCCTTTTATATTTAATCTTAAAACTATTAAACTTTATATTTAATTGTTTTGCCCTTTCTTATACCTGTATTACTACATCATCATGCAGAATTTCATCCTCTGTTGCTATAAGCAAATCGTCAAAGTATACGTACACATTGTTTATGTCACCAAAACACTCAAAATTTTCTTTTGAAATTCCTCAAATGCACACGGCAAACCAAAAGTTTAACTTTTACCGCTCATCTCACAAAAAACCGACTAAATGAGATTTAAAAATGTAAGCAAATCAAAACCCTACTCAGCTCGGAGTAATCACTGGTAGAAAAAAAAATCTTTACGAGAAGTTATTGTTTCAGAACTGAGTATCACTTGATGTTCATTGATGTTATGACTGATTTAATATTATAGTAAAGTGTTTTGCACAATACATTAATTTCTAGAATTTGGTCACGCTAAGTTAAAGAGGGTTTCAGTTATAAGTAAATGACAAAGTTCACCCTCTCGTTTTATCTAATCTGTGATTCAAGAGAGCCTTAAACATGAGGGGTCAAGGTTTAATCAATTTTCGGCATGCATTTTTAAAAAATCACCTAAACGACTTCTCATTTTGTGCAACTCGCATAAGCAGACAGCCGTTTTGAATATAATAGGCGAAACATATTGGTGGACAAAAGATGTGGCTTTGAAAACATATTTTGGAATATTTAATGACCCTTCGAATTATTCATTAATAACAGCATTCGAGTTATAGTAATACTAATTGGATTCTATGTTGGGATTTATTAACAATTACGTTAATATTAGATACTAAGAGTAGTTTAATGACATTGTTTTTCCTAACTATAATCCCCGTATAAACTTGATTCTACATTTTTATCTTGGGTTAACAAAAAGTTGAATCTGATAGATTTAATATCGCGTTTCCATTTGCGGTGATCGTTTGCACGAACTGTTTTGTAAGGTTTAGTATTTAGTATACAAACAAAATATTATACTCTGCTTGTTATTATGATTCAGAATTATGTAAATATGTTGTTCATAACGAAAAATGACTAATGTTGCTGTTGTTAACAAATTCGCATAACAAATTCTGCAAAATAAATCTAGATTTTATTGTTTCGGTCGGCAATATGTAAGCCATTCGATCAGTCGTAAAAAAACCATTGAAACAGTCAGTACAACTATCATTGCAAATATTTAAGTAAGTAATAAACGAAATTGTGTTCTTATATTTAATGGTTTTATTAAAACCATGTATTTTCAAAATATGTGTTTTGAACTAACTGAAAAATATCACCAGCAATTGTTGAGTACTCATATTATTATTATTATTATAACTATTTAAGTACTTCAAAAAGAGTTATCCAAAATTTTTTATCGATCATTTAAAATGTTTGGTACATAATTCTCAATTTAAAAATTTTTTTAGAAACATGCTTTCTAAAAAATAGTAAAAAAATTAACTAAAAAGTAAAAAAAATATTTAACTAAAAAGTAAAAAAAATATTTAACTACAAGAACAATTTACCAATTATTTGTAGCACATTTTATTTAAAATGTCATTTACTTTGAAAATAACCAAAAATTGAATACAATTTTAAATAATGTTAAACGTCTTTAATTTTCGATTAAAAATAAAAGCGTGGGTCTAATCAATTAAGTTCCTAATAAATTTATTAGTTAACATTCCAGATAATGTTTTATATATTAAGTTTTTTTGTAATTTAAATTTGGTTGAATAAGGCCCTTGCTTTTTTTTTTTAGTCAAAAGCGAGTTAAAAAAAAGCATATTGTAAAAAGTTAATAAAATTTATGTTTAAAAAGTTGCTATCAAAAAAACTAAGATTGAGGAGCTGAAAATGTATACATTTTTTGAAAATCGAGATCACATTTTTTTGAAAAAAAAAATCAAATTATTAATTGAACTAAGATATTGAGTGGCCTATGATAAAATAATCACACTGTAGAAATATCGATGACCTATGCGGTTATATGGTATCGTCTATACAATGTTCTAGTGTAAACATTTATAGAAAAGATACTATTTTCTTAACTGCGACACATTAATGAATGTAGAGGAATTTAATTTATTTATTAAGAGATCTAAAATATCAACACAGTAATGAAAAATGTGTGAACTAGAATACATGACATACGTAGGTAAAAACCATTTGTTTAAATATTTTTATTGGTTTCCATACAAAATTTGTGTTTGATATAATATTTGTAACAATAAGGTACTATCATGCAAACAAATGTAAACGTTCAAAACGACAAATGATAAAACGTAATACAATCCAAAAACGATTTGTTATCCATAAAAAAAAAAACACATTAGTAAAATTTAAAAAATTGTATTTGTAAAATACTTTAGTTTTTTTAACGTGGAAATTCAAACAAATGTTGATGATAACACTGTTAGCTTAATAGTCATTTGTCTTTTTTTCTACATTACTTCGAGTTCTTAGGCCAATAATTCCGTTTAATATGTTTTAATTTATATTATTACTTGCAGACAAAAATGAAATATATATATATCTTACTCTTCTGTGCTATTTCAAATGTTTTGGCAAATCATTCTTATGGTATGTAATTCGCTTTTACAAGTACTTACCCAAGGTACTTAGTTTACGTTTAAAAAAAGCTTAACAAAATTCAATATTCAACTTTTTTACAGATAGTACAGGCTGGAGAAGGACGCTTCATGCTACAAGTCAGTACATTTATTGTTAACAAAATACTTTTTAAGTTTTAAGACTTACAGTTTTTATACATAATTTGTTACAGACCTACTCATTGAAATACATGATGAAAAAGGTAAGACATACTTAAAATTATTAATACTATAAATTCAATGGTTTTATTGTACTTGCATTTGACCTGACTATAACGTAATTTATATTTGTGAATTATAATCTCTATGAAAAAATGCCACCAAATATTGGCCTTTGTGTGTATTTTTTTTTTTTTTTTTAAATACTTTTTACCGAAAAACTCCAGGAATTATCAATATTAGTGAAGTCAAGGTTTGTTGACAGGCACGGCGCCAGAATTTTTTTCCTAGGGGGGCGGGAAAGGTCAATTGAATTTTTCGGAGGGGCAACCACAATAGTTTTACCTACTTCTGTCAATAAAAAACAATCATAATGATTTATCAGTGAATGACTTTAATATTTATCAGTTAAATAGTATAAAATATGAATTTATTACAGATTAAGGAAAAATATATACTAGTGTACAATTTAAGTAAGGCAGCTTTTTAAAATAAGCGTTATTTTTACCTGTCGGCCATCATATAGCTCTTATTGTACTCTATGAAAGTCGAAGTAAAAATGAAGGCTTATAAAACGCCCAACAACCAGACAGTGGAGATTATAGTTATCGTGTTATACCTACATTCTATTAAACCAAAACAATCCGTCAATAAACACTGAATTTTTGGAAAACACACACACAAACGTAAATATTATAATTATATATATATATATATATATATATATATATATATATATATATACACACACACCAAAACACATAATTATATGGACGACGGATTATTGATAACCGATTGCAAAAACACTCAAAATATATTGATAAAAAAGGCCACATTTGGTGGCAATGTCATAACTAATAACTAAATTTGTATATATAAAAATACAGTTAATCAAAATCTGGGTTTTAGGAATAATAATCAAATATTTAAAATTATACCTATTTAGCAAAATATCTGGGGGGGCGACCGCCCACCTTCGCCCCCCCCCTTGGCGCCGTCCCTGTTTGTTGAGGATACTAAGCTCAAATAATGCAACTTGTATTGAGAATATTTCTCAAAAGAGTCTTCCACACGAATAATATCATTATATTATAATTCAGTTTGTACAATATTAGTGATGATCTATAATAGATTTTATATAATAATTATGTAATAAAATTCCAACACGGTTTATCACTAGTTCAATGGGCCACTTTTAACTAAAAATGTACTTCTAGTCAGAACACTTTTATACATATTATGTCTCATTAAAATTTCATGTGATTTTTTTAACGCAATCAATTATTTATTTATTTCAGGGACCCTTTGGAATAAAATAAAAGAAATTGTTGCACTTAATCTTCCCATGAGTAATTATTATTCTATAAGCAAACCGATTAAGTAATGAAACAATAATTGCAAAAACAATTTATCAATGCAAATTTATAAGTGATGGAAATATTAAATTTGAATCACTCAATTTTAATTCGTATATTTAACATTCTTATTATTATTAAATGTGTATTTTATACCTTGACTTTCTCCTTTAAATTTATAATTGAACATGAAATTAAGTCCAATATCGTTAAAAAATCAGTTTTTTGTAATCATAATTTCAGAGTCATTATCTCATATGTGTGCAGTATCTGGTAATAATTGAAAATATTTTCCTATATTTGTTTGTTGTTCACAATTATAAAATGTTATCGTTTTAATTTCAGACAATCCAATGGATGACTTAACATTACACCGTAATTCATGTTTCATATTTATAGTATTTCATATTACACAAAGCTTTCAGATTAGTTTTTAAACTATGAGAAAAATCATAAGCACATTCATTTTGAAATTGACAAACAGACATTAGATAAATATAAAAATGTGTTTTTTTTTTTAAATTTTAGAGATGATATTGGAGAACCAACTGCGAAAAATAGTACACAAAGGCTCAGGTAGTTATAAAATTCAACATATTTTCACATACCTTTTATAATACTGATAGTGAAAATATCGGGTAATTAAAAATAACCGTGTTTCACATAAAATTTTACTTAAAAAAGTTATAAAAAATATTTTTTATTCTTATGCGCTATACTTATTTTAGTTTGTAAGTACTAATTTTTCAAATTTATTGTTTAACCGACAGTATGAGTTTTAATTGAACGAATTTGTCCATTTTCACCAACAATGAGTTACTTAACTCCGTTGTTGAATAAAATTACTGAATCTTAAACGGGATTGTGTGCAATAGAGTGATGTAAACCAAAAATCTTTACTAATATTTTTTTGTATAATCTAATATTTTCGGTGTACCCTCGTTAATTAATCTTAAAGTTTACACTGGATGAACAAGTGTACAAATTTAAATGAATGAAAATGAAAAATAAATAAAATAATGGAAAATTTGTAAAACCTTATCGGCCGCTCGACCATTAGTGTCTTTTTTATTAGATAATATTCTATCTACACGTTTTACGCATAAGACTCTAGTACTTTTTCTTAATAAAATCACATTCTAGCGTGGATTGTTTGGGCATGGATGACTTTTTTAATAAAGGCTCAATCAATTTAATAATTAAAGTAATTTAAAAAAAAAAAATTATGTTGATTAACTGGCCTAAGTTATCTTTTTTTTTAAATTATTATTCTACTCAGATCTACTAAAATACTCATATTCAACAATCGAATAAATATTTATTGCATAATTTTATGTTTTTGTTCCAGACAAAACTTATATTGACGTTGCATTTCTTGGTAATTACCCTTTATCCGACAGTCGTAAATAGAGCTTAAATCTCGACGGTCATTCAAAATTTATTTTAAGTCAATCCAGGTTTCCGTAACGTAATGAGAGCAAACTGTTAAAATGAAAACGGTCAATTTACAAGTTTATAATTAACTAAACATAACATAACACAAATATTTGTTCAACAACTGTACGTTCATTTAAACGCTATATATTTTACTATTCAATAAACTTTACCCCAAACTGAAAGCAAAAAATTTGTACTTTTATTGAACTTTTAATTTTAAAACATTACATAATTTAACTTCTAAATTTAGATAGAAATGGGTATAGCTACCCATTTATATCTGACACACAAATATTAATCAATAAGAATATTTAGTCTTTTTATTTTTTTTAGTTATTTTAATAAAAACCAATATAAGCTAGCAGAATGGCTTGTATTCACTAGTCGAAACTTGTGTCCGATATTTATTTCAATTGGCATTTTTATTGTAAGCGAAAAACTATACCAGTAATTGTAGTTGCTGCACATCTTTTTACTATAATAAAGTACCTATCACAAAACGTTTTTGACATTTATAATTGTAACACACGTACACGCATAATTCCAATAAAAACATATTTTAACGATTTGTGTGTTTGTTAAAATATGTTCGTTTTTCGAATAATGTAATTTGTAATTTTTTAATTTCGCTGTGTTAACTGAGGTTACCAAATTGTCATAATAAAAACACTTAAAAAAATTATTTATACTTTGTTTAACACATTTATTGAATTTTCAGGTAATCATGACTTGACTGTTTTTGATCGTGGAGTTGATCGAAGAATGTTGTTTAAAAAAACTTTATCAAAGTTATTGACCGATATTGATGAAAGTAAATAATAATCTAATACAAAAACTAGTGGTTACACGGAAAAAATTCATATTTGGATAATATATATAAATTTGTTTTTCTCCCTCCTTTAAATTTCCATTTTGTGACTCAATACACTTTTTCTCTTGGGTGAGGATATAAGGATTAGCCTTAATTTAAGTTTGTCCAAATATGTATTTGTTTGTCCGTGCAGCAAGCCAAATTTAGCTTACTTTTGAAAACTTTTTCTTTAGAACCAAGGGACCACAACATGAATTTTGAACACGTATGTCAAATGTTGGGTTTGTTCACGAGTACAAAATTCCCAGTAGAGTACATAACACAGGCTGATGTTGTACACGGTGTTTGTGTCTTACGTCACGGACTGACAGTCAAACAGTCTTTCAAAATCTTTGAGAGCCATATACATTTTGTAAACAACGAAAACGACAAAGGGGAACGCATAAGTACATATTTAAATGAGGGAATTGACTGGCGTTTATAGTTTAACATAACCTATTCTCTCAGGCATGGCTTATTCTAAGGATTTTTTTCAACTGCGCATGTTATTATGGAACCGAACCTGCATCACCCTAACCTAACTTGGCTTAATAAGAGCGTTTGCACTAAATAATTTAAATTTTAACTTCTAATTATAGTATAGTTTATGTTTCACTTGTATCTAATTCTGCCTACTAATATAAATAACAATAATAAATAATATAAACATAGGATTAAAAATGTCCTTTTTTATTAAAATTTTACTTTTTTCTTGTTTAAAATAATATTTTTTTTTGTATTTAACACACAGGTACAAAAACATAATAGTATTTTTATTTTAAAATTGTCTTCTTTTTTTTGAAGTTTCACCATCTTCTTGTTCAGAATTTCTTTTTGACCCTTCCTCAAATATACCATGACACCATTCTTGTTCCTTAGCTTTTGGTGTATCCTTAACGCGACGTTCATTTTGTTTTAACCATATCTGTACGCTTGTCTTGGATCCAAATTTTGTAGGTGTGGCATGTTAAAGTGAATAAATAGATATTCATTTTCAGTTTCTACGTGCAAACTTTGACGGTTTATTGATTTAAGAATATTACTTTTACTGATTAAACGTTCAACGTCAGCACTGTGAGGTTTGTCAGCTATAATACAAGAAAGTAAAATATTTAGATTTTTGTACGCATCAAATTCAGGAAATGCTGAACAAGCTTAAACAAAGACATCTGGCGTAGGTCCTCTATTTTATCATGTTCCAGAATGTCTGTATATTCCATATCTAGGCCGGCTAAATCTAAATCATGACCCAAAACGTTGAATGCGTTTTTTATGTTAGCATTTGGATTTAAATTAGCCGCTGGTTTAAATGTATTCACAATATGCTCATCGCTATTTCATAACATATAGCTTGTACAGATCTGTTTTCAGTGACGTATAAATTATGTCTATTATTTCTTTTTTCTTGTGTATCTATTAATTTAATACTTTTCAGTGTTTTACCATCAGTACTGTTAAGTTTGTCTTCAAGTCCATTAATCCATCCTCCAACTAAATTATTGAACGAAAACTCTGAAATACCCGACAACTTAAACACTAAATGGGAAATTTCCACCGCTGTAGAACTTATATCTTTCCATGCCAAATTTGATCTATGCACTGCACACCAAATTTTAATTAACGGCACGTTAAATTTATTTGTTTTATCTCTCCATTTACTTTCAAGTAATGTTCACAATCCTCCCTTGTTACCAATATTCACAGCAGCACTATCCGTAACAACCGATGATATGTTTTTAAAAATACATTCAGTTACCTCTTGACCAACGGTATTTTTACAAGCTGTTTCAATAGCGTCTAAAATTCCCTCTGCACTTCTTTGTACGACTTGCCCAGCTCCCAAAAAGTATTGCTCTGCTACTCCTTTTAATGACACGGTTTTTAATATGACTTACATTTTATCCACCTGCGATCGATCCACCGACACATCACACCCCAATGACATAGATAATGTATCCGAAATTAATTATTTTGAAAAAGTTGTTTTATAACTTTTCATAATACATTGAAGAAATTCTTTATGTGATGTAGGAGTTAAATATTGAAAATCATAAGTATTATTTTTATTGTATTCATTAAAATTAAATTGATTAGCAATTTGACTTGTAACTACTCTTATAGGATATGGGTATGCACTTAAAGTCAATTTTTTTGGATCTCCATATGCATGTACCATTAAGGAACCAATTCTATTTCCAAGTTTTTCATTGTATTTTAAAATTGCATGACCTATTAGAGTATATTGCTTAGAATTGGGTTATGATAATGTAGAAAGGCGAAGCATTTTCAGACTGAATGTATGATAGGATTTCGTTAAATGATTATCAACTACTTCTTGTCCAAGCAAAGCACCAAGATCCTGAGTTATTTTTGGAAGTTGTGACTTTTCTGAATATATTTTTACTGTGTCAGGATATTTATCACAAGAAATACATTTTTTATAATGTTTTCCATTTCTATGCACACGATGAAATATTTTAGAAGTACTGATCATGTCCGATGTGTTATATGAGATAGAGACAGTAGCTGATGGCGTGGACGTAGGAACAGTAACCGAAATAATAGTCGAAGTTTGAGGAACAGCAGTTGTAGTGCAAGATGGAATTACTGTTGTGGTATTGGTTACAGAAGACTGACCAGTGAACCCTACTTTAGCAAACAATAACCATTTGGTTAATGAGTCATTCGTATTTTTTTTTTCATTATCTAAGAAAAAAAATAGATTTTAAAAATAATTAATCCATTAACAGAAAATACACCATGTTTTAAGATTTGATATTTATGTAATACTACAAATTTCTATTAAGTTTTAACTTTTTAGTATTATGCTGTATTATGTTATGCATAGTATTATACTTACTTTCACGGTTCTCAGGTTTATTTCAATAAATAATAAAGTACTTCTGTTTTTATATTTAAATACTTTTTGCGTGCCACACTAATATAAAAAATTGTCAAATAATTTAATGTACCTACTGCATGATAAAAATTCTTTGCTCAAAATAGCTGGCAAGTAAAGTAGTAAAGTTGCATAGTAGCTGGCAAAATTAATGTCGTTATAATTCATGGTGCCTTCATCTAATAATGAGAATTCATACCTTTTAATTAGCAAAATGCATTGGTAAGTTATTAATATATAAAGAATTTAAATTAGAGCCACTTCAGTACACTCAATTTTGTTACCAACGACAACGGGGGTCACTTTTTTAGTTACCGTATAATTCGTACAGGTAGTCGGCATTCGAACTACAGCTAGACGTCCGAAAATAGTAGTAGATAAGGTGAAGGTACGTTATGTAGCTGTACCTCTCTTATTTCACATATTACAATGATTACTGATTAGTAAACACTAAACATTCTACTATTTTATTCACTGTACACAATATTATGATAACACATGCATTGTCGTTAACGGTTAACCTTAAAAGTTAAAATACTCAATAATATCTGCTTACTTTAGTGACTAGTTTGTACACACGATGATGCAAATAAAAAAAAAATATCATTATTTTACACTACTCCCCCCCTCCACCCCAAAGTACCAACTAGAATAAATTTGTGATTTATAGAGTTGCTATTCGAAGTAATTGATCCAGTATTAAAAAAGCTACAGTGTATACATATAAAAAAAACACATCAGAGTAAAACCAACACCTTCGCCGCTATGCTTTGAAGCTAAAACATTTTTCTGGATTTTATAAATAAGGCTTCAAAAGTGGTCAAATTATATGTTTTTGGGGTCGGTGATTATGAATTTAATATCAATTTTCATATTTACTCAGAAACAAAAAAAAATTGAATAGTCAAAAGTGGTACTTGAGCACAAAACCTAATAGTATCATTCTGCATAGATCTACTGTTAACGCGTTATCGTTGTTGTTGGTTGGCATTTTTCTCCCTGCTTGTTCCGTTGTTGTGTCCGTCCTCTGTAAATTAAAATTAATCTAACCTGTATTGTTGTTGCTATTATTATTTTAATTACCCAGCTGCCACGCCACATACCTGAATTGTGTCTATTCATTTCGCTTGGGTGTATGCGGAGTTTGCTGTTTGTATAACCATTCAATTACAAGAACGAGTTCGCCTCCGTCAATAGTTTTTAAGTTAATTTTAGTTTAGTTTGAAGATTTTTCTTTTAGCCATTGCACAAAACGGAACCCACCATAAGAACCCCCTTGTATATAAACTCTATTTTCTGTTGTCCATTGTAAATATAAACTGATTCATTCCGTAAAAGTCTGCGTCGATCCCGTGTTACTATCGTCCAATTTTCCTACCGTTATGCCATCTGAACAGCTACTTATGATAGTGTGCGTTAGGTTGCCTACCGAAAACTAATTAGGCGTAACAACTCAGTACTGCTTCCTTTTTCTTCTCGTGCCGAAAGACTTCGGCTGGTCCTTCGATACATTTTTTTTTTGTTGTTGTATCATACATCTACATAAAATGGTTTTTATGATTTGATAATTTTTTTTAAGATTTTAGGCGTTTTTGTTAAAATATATGCAGTCTGCGAAAATTATGTTTTTATTATAGTTCGAAAATGGGATAAGTACAACTAGTATCTATGTTTTTTTTACATTTTTAAAATATCAACTACTTGCTGCATTATTTTACTCCTAAATCAAATGGAAAATTAAATTTTAACAAGACAAAGTTTGTTTATTTTATTTTATTTTACTACATGTAACCATTTTTAATATTAATTACATAGACATTTATTTGTTTTTTTGAATATTGAACTGTACTTATTCTGTCCTTAAACTATGATAAAAACATTCGGTTTTAGTGTCAAATAAAAAAAGTTTTATCAATTTTAATAATGCCCATTGCTTTGTATTCAACTCAATTTTAATATATTTAAATTGGCGGTGATCATAAAAAATGGCCAATACGAACCAATAAGTCAATGATTATACAATGTATAGGTGTAAAATTATTTTAGTTTAATTGTAATTAAACATTTTAATTGTTAGAGAGGGAGGGTTTTGTATAATTTCGCACATTGGCCCATATGTTTCAAAAGTAACCAAAGATTTAAAAATATCATTTTCTATGGAAGTATTATTTATCGAATTCTTGCCTTAGCGTTAACTCGATAACACAATTTTTTCACTTCAGAAAAACACTTGGGTGATTCGATTTGCGTGTTTCCATTTCGACTGTTTACTTAAATGAAAATATACGAATCAATTAATACGCACATACATATATTATTTAGCTCAAGGTCAACACGAACAATAACTGAATAGCTTAAAAAAACCCTTTGGTTTTGACATTATATAATATTTTATTTGTGTATACAACCCATAATGTTAAATGTAAAATTCAAAGTAAAATTTGTAAAATACTGCCACAGTAAGTAAAAATATTATGTAAGCCCGTGTGCACAGCTGCCAAAGCACCATACACATTTAATGTGAAAAACAAAACCAATCCCTTGTGTTCTAAACGACATAACAATTTTTTTTATACTAAATTCGCTTTATGCGATTTTGTATTATATTTTCTATACTATCTGATACCAAAAATTTGTTATTAAATAAAAAAATCACCATACTTGTATATAGATTTAAACGAGTGTCAATAAAAATTTGGTGGGGTTGTTATACTAGAGAGAAACCATTGTCCAAATATAAATAACCTAATATTTTCCTAGGGATATTTTGTAATAAATTGATTACATTTCTACAGGCATCGTGTATTATGCTATACATATATTATAACGGTTACATTATCTAACCGTTCC